AAACAGGTAATGATAGGCCACGGTGTAAGGACAGTGAGGGGTGTCGTGCAGAAAGGCAGAGCAGGGTACTGGGAAGGACTGTGTGCACGCACATGAGTATGTGTGAGTGTGAGTGAGTGTGCGTGTGTGTCTGTGTGGGCATGTGTGTGCATGTGCATGCATGCATGTGTGTGTGTGTTTTTGTGTGTGTGTGCGAGGGGAGTCAATGAATCCATTTTAGCCTTCTAGGAAGGCCTCTCAGAGGAGGTAACATCGGAGTAGATACCTGAGTGGAAGAAGGAGCCAGAAGAGTGTTCCAGGCAGAGGGAAGAGAGTGTGAAGGCCCGCAGGGAGTGATGCTGCCTATGTGGAGGCCAAGCCAGGAGCTGCCCAGGTAGTTGGCGTTGAGTGAGGAGGCAGGCAGGACCAGGGCAGGCAGGGTGCTGTGGGCCACGTCACGGCCTTTGGATTGGATTTCACTCAGGGGTACTAACATTCTTCTCATTTCCCTGATGATGAAACTGAAGACAACACTATGGTATCAATGGGCACAGACGTTACCTCTAGTTTTGCCTGTCAAGGTTTCCAGTTTGCAAATGAGTCTTAGCTATACCCCTGCCTAGCTCTTCTTGGGCAAGTCACCTACTTCTCTGGGCCTCAGTTTCTTCATCTGTCAAATGGGAGTGAAAAGCTTCACCTTCCAGGAGTGTTGTAAGATGGGACTAACAACCCACCTCAAACGCTGCTGTAAGTCAGGAGCCGAGCCTGGGCCCTGGTGGACACAGAGAAGGCTCAGTAAGTACAGCCCATCACTGTCACTGTCATTATTACCAGGCTCTGAATGGGGGCAGGGAGAAGGGAGGGACCGAAACAGCTGTTGATAGCATATGTGCTGGCTTACAGTTAGACATTTTCAGGGCTGGAAGCAAATCCAGGTCAACTCCTAGCCAGTGCTACTCACATCATCCAGCTAGTTCTTGGATGCCTCTAGTGATGGGGAATTCACTTCTAGAGGCATCTCATTCTTACCCTGCTTTAAATCCTTCAGTGAACACTCCATTGCTCTTGATATAAAGTCCAACTATTTTCTGAGGCCCCACAACCCTCCAGGAACCACCCCCTGCCAACCCCTGACCTTGTCCACTGTCCACCACTTGGTCCCTCACTCTCTTTTCTTTTGCATCTAAGCTTTGCACATACTAGTCCTTCTGCTGGGAATTCTGTCTGTTCTGCCCCCTCCTCATTCACTTAGCCCCTCCCCTTTTTTCAAGTTCTAAGTTACATATCACCTTTCTAGGGAGGCCTTCTTGAACCTCCCAGCCTGGGCTCGACACCCCTAAAACTGCTTGGGAACGTGCTCATCAGTCTTGTAATTAGTTGCTCATTTAAGATTGAGTTGCCCATTTTCCATGAAGGTGGGGAGCTGTCTGATTTGTCCTTCTGTCTTCTGCATCTCACACCAGTGAGTGGCACGTACACAGGAAGGCACACAATACACGTCCACTGAATTGAGACTCTGTCAGTGCCTCTCTGCTAGACAATTCTTTTTTTTTTTTTTTTTTGGTCTGGCTCTGTTGCCCAGGCTGAAGTGCAGTGGTGCAATCTTGGCTCACTGCAACCTCCTCCTCCCGGGTTCAAGCAATTATCCTGACTCAGCCTCCCAAGTAGCTGGGATTACAGGTGCCTGCCACCACACCCACCTAATTTTTTATTTTTAGTAGAGACAGGGTTTCACCATGTTGGTCAGGCTAGTCTTGAACTCCTGATCTCAGGTGATCTGCCCACCTCGGCCTCCCAAAGTGCTGGGATTAAAGGCATGAGCTACCATGCCCGGCCCAATTCTTCCTCTTAGCAAGCTCACCCTACTCCAGCAGTGAGCGCTGTCAACACCCCCACTCTGCAGATAAGGAAATTGATGATGGTAGCACTGGCTACAGGGCTGGGGCAGAATGACAGGAGACAGCAGCAAGAAGGATGGAGCCTGGCCCTGCATGGTGTCGGGGTTAAACCCAAACAATTATTAATTTTATTGCTGTTGATATCATTATGATAGTCAAGGTGTTCTCATGGGGAAGAAAATACAGCACCTGCCAAAAGGAGACAGATGCTAAGTGATGCGTACAAGCTCAAGCTGAAATGGCAACTTCCTGAGAGCAGGGGCCCTGGCTCTTTCTTTCCCATGTCTGGGGACTTTCGGGCAGTATCTGACTCCCTGCAGGGACAGCACAGAGGGTTCACCAGGTTCTCAGTGCTAAGTCCTGGCCATATACCATCTCATTGAACACTTCCAGCACTCCCTGAGGTCACAGTTATCACCATTCCCAACACACTGATTGGGTCACATGCTCAGGGAGGCTGCGTGGATCCAGGTGACAGAACAGGAAGGTAACAAAGCCAAGGTAGGACCCAGGTCTGTCTAATTCCAAAACCACCCTCCGTGCCAACTTCAGAATTCACTTCCTTCTCAAGAGTCCCCCAACTCAGCCTAGCTGCCCTCAAACTCAAACCAATTTTAACGGCTTCTCCTTCCCTTCACGTTGAGCTATTGATCTTCATTTTCCAGGCTGGTTTTGGCATGAACCACTGTATCTTGGAAGTTTTATCAGGGGCTCATTTTGGCTTTAAGCTTTCATTAGCACAGTTAACTTCCAATACGCTGCAAAAATATTTCTTCACTTGTAGCTTCTAACTGCTTTGCCATCCAGATGGTTTTGAAATCAAGGAAGCTGCTATATTTGCCTCGAGCTGGTTGTTTTGAATTTTGCGATCACAGCCTTGGTCAGAAGATGAGTGACACAGCTGGCCACAGTGATTCGTCTTTGAGGAGCACATCGCAAAGCAGCAAGAGGAAGTCTCCACTGATAATTTTTTTGTTTGTTTTAAATAACTAATACGATTACGCGTTTCTATTCACATTAGATTTTTGGAAGAGTGTATTTAAGTAATTTTCTTTAGTTTTTATTCTGGGTTTCAAAACAGAGCTCCACGTCAACAACTAATTTATTATGGAATAGCCTGTGATTTTGACCTAGTTAATCTGACTCTAAATGATAACTTGCCATCGCAAAGTATATGGCAAGAGATAAAAGCAGAGCTGAAATTAGAAAAAAAAAAAAATACAAGTGCGAGAAAAAAAGGAGAAGCTATGGTTTCTCATTTTCCCCCTGCAGCACAAATTGTTGAGTAATGAGATTTTTAAAAGCCAGAAATTGCTGTGGCGTGAACCAGTGCTGGCAGCTGGAGAACTGGCACCGGACACATCTGGCCTGACAGGGTTTGAAGGAAGGCTCGCTGCAGTGGGTGACTACCCGTACCGCAGCCGGGCTCCTGCAGCCGCCATGTTCAGATACAAGAGGGAGGGAGAGCAAATGGGAAAAATCAACGTCCAAATTAGAAACTACCTAAGCCATGCTGTTTTTCTTGGGGCCCCACTGTGCCTTTGATTTCCTGATCGCCCAGAGCAAGAATAACAAAATCCGTCTAACCCAGTGATTTGGACAGATTCATCTGAAAAGCTACCCGTTGGGTTTGATCTGTTCATACCAGTGATTCTCAACTGGGGAGCCAATTTATCCCCTGGAGACATGTGGCCATATCTGGAGACTTTTTCAGTTATAACTAGGAGGAGGTGCTACTGGCATCTGTAGGAAGAGGGCAGGGTTGCTGCTAAGCTCCCCAAAATGCACAGGACGGGCCCCTCACCCCCAACAAAGAATCATCTAGTGCCAAATGTCAATAGCGGTAAGGTTAGGAACCCCTAACATATGTGTACTCAATCTGAATTCCTTTGGTGGGGTGGCTGGTGTGCCATTATATATATAGTTTCTGGAACCTGGAGACATGAAGTTCAGGCCTGCCCAGCTCAGGCACCTAAATTATGTAAGTAGCTGAAGGATCAACTGGGTCCCGTTTCCTTTTACTAAAGCAAAAAGATCTCATCACCTGGTGATGCAGCCAGCGGTGAAAAGAGCTTTTGAAAGAAGCGTTCAGTGGAAAAGAGTGCCCCGGGTAGAGCTGGGAGCTGCAGCGGCAGGCTGAACGGCATCCTCCCCCTTTCTGGCGGCTGTGTCGGAATTGAGGGCAGGTGGACCCTGGAGCAGGATGCCCCCCTCTCTCGTCAGCCCCCCGGGACACTCTTGGCTTCTCTGCTGTTGAATCTGTCTCACTTGCTGTGGTGAAAGGTCACCAAGGAGCTGGGCAGCAGGACTCCCCAGGCACCAGCCACGGTTCTACACTCACAGTGATTTTATTGGCATGACGGGAAGCTCGGGCCTGCCAAAGACAACAGTCCTGTGCTGTGACTGAGACTGCAGGCTCCTGGGGCATGTGTCCTACCACTCTAGACTGTCCCATTCCCACTGGGTGCAACGGCCTGGAAGAGGTGGATGACGGCAGATGGACACCCGGTTTCCCCATCCTGTCCTCCCTATCTCAGCACCCAGCAGAGGCGCGCTTCCACGCCTGGCCCCCTTTCACCGTTTCCAGTTCACATTTTCCTGCCCTTTCTAAAGAAGCAGCAGGGCTGAGGTGGTCTCTTTTCGTGCTCGTGATCAACTCTGTGGCCAAGGGCAGCTGTGTGACCTCTCGCTCCCAGGCTGCCAGGGGAAGCGGCCCCTGGATGAATGTCCCTTTCCACATGTGCATCTGCAACTCTTCAAACTGCGGAGGCGCCCTCCCTCGACCCTCCCTCGACCCTCATTCACATCCTTGCCAGCTCTTCCCAAAACAGCTTGCCTAGAAATATGGGGGCTGGGAAGAAAAGACTGTGATTGAAGAGCTCCTCGAGGTGACTTAGACTTTGCTCCTTGCCTGTGCTCCGTGGGACCCCGCAGCCCCTCATTACCCCGGGGTTCTCGGCTGCCATTCCCTGAACGCGAGCTCAGGGCCAGGCCGCAAGTGGAGTGCTCTTCCTGCACGTGCTCTCGTAATCTTCACAACCATCCCAGACGGAGGAGGGGATTTTGTGAGCCCATTTGACAGGAGAGAAAGTCAAGACTGAGAGAGCAGATGGCTATGCTTACCCAAGGCCAGACGGGTTGATACCATGTTGATCTGGGCTTCCCAACCAGGTGGTCTAAGCCCAGGGCCAGAATTCTTAGCCTTTCATAATGTAAGGGTGCTTGGGGATGAGCCCCCAGCTGGGCACACTTCAACTGTGGTTACTGTCATTTTTGTCAGTGGTGACTGGCCCCTGTGATGGCACATTCCAGTCAGCTGGCCTTTGTACAGTTTTGTCTACCCTACTCCCCACCCCTACGAAGAGCCACCAGGAACCCCTTAGTCCTGGAGAAGGCACTGCCTCCTCTACCAGGGGTTCCTGAAGCCCCTTGGTCCCCTTTGTCAGGCCCGCTGGGCACAACTCGAGCCTGGGGCCACTGAGCACTCTCTAGCTTCTCCCCAAGTCCTGCTGCAGGACGAAGCCCCGACCCTGCACAGGTCAGGATTCCGTGAGCACGAAGAACCCCAGCATCCTTGGTCTGAGTGACCGGGCCTGTCCCGTACCACGGGGGGCTCAGTGGGTCTGGGATCCTCCTGTATCTTCTTGGAGGCCCCGGTCCCACTGGGCCCAGCACAAAGGGCAGCTCTGGGTACCTAGCCAGGCTCCGACTGGCGCAGAGCGTACAGGGGTGCTCACATGGTGCGGTGACGCGACTCCCTTTCGCAGGGCCCAGGAAGCTCCTGGAGGCGCGCAGGTGCCGGCCAGGTGAGACTGGAGAAGGGCGCGCAGGGCGCAGCACAGCGGCCGCGTGTGCCTGCCCAGGGCCGTAGTCCCCAAGGGCCCTGAGGGGACATCAGACGGCGAGCTCCCTCCCTTCCGACCTCAGCCAGTTTGCCGGATGGGGGAGAGTGGCACCTACCTCCGAAAAGCACCAGGACACAAACGTAGGGGAGCATGGCTGCGAGCATCCCGGCGGGGCTAGCAGGACAGCCCGCTGGGCACTCCCCAAGGTGCGCAAGGGGAGGCGTGGGCGCTGGGCTCTCGGACGGCAGCGGGCGCCGGCGTCCAGGCTGGGGTCCTGAGAAGAAGTTGCAAGGGTCCTGCGCCCCCCTCGGCGCTCACACGCGCTCAGCCTCCCCGGCTGTTGATAGTTGTAAGCAGAGCTGCTCACTCATAGGTCCAACTCTCCAGAAGAGGTGGAGACAGCCCCCGGCGAGGCTCGCACACCCGCGCAGGGCGCACAGCCCCTGGTGCAGCTCTTTCCACCATTCAGACCCCCAGCACTCCCCCAGATGTCTGTCCCCTGGCAGTCGCCTTCCCCAAAGTCTTCGCAGTGGGCAAGGAGGCCTTCCCCAAACTCTGGTCCCGGCCAAGCCAGAGCGATGCGCTCCTTGCGTCAAAGCGCACCCCTAGCCAGGCCGTTCCCTGGAAGGTCAAGCGGGGCGGGGGGTTCCCCTTAGTCCCTCAAGCCCTGGGACCCCTGAAGTTTCTATTCACGTCTTCCAGATACTCCTGGAAAAGTCGCGTCAACTTGGATCCCAGCAAACCCAGAAGCTCAGTGAAAGTGGCCAACCCGGTCGCTTAGAAGCCAGCCACGGCCTCTGTCTGTAAATGAGGCCCTCAACCCCTCCCCACCACACCCAAACGCATCCAGGCGAAGTGTGGAGCCGACCAGGCTGGTTTTCCTCCTCCTCCCAACTCCTCCTCCTGCTTCCCCCCCCCACTCCCCAAATCTCATGTGAGTGAGTCAGCTGAGGGTGGCAGCTCAGAGGCAAGGCAGCCGTGAGGCGAAGGACAGGCTGGGGGACCCCAGTGGGTCCACTCCGGCCCCCACCCCAGGCACTGGGACTCTGGTGGCACCCTGGATGGCAGGCAAGCCTTGAAGTCAAGTGCACGCGCCTTGGAAAGGAGGACAGGGAGAGTTATGGGATTTATGAATGAAGAAGAGAAAGAGAATCACTCGGATGGGAAAAGTTAACTGGATTGTTCCCACCTGCATGGATCACCGGGTAACAGAAGTGGGACCGAGGGGGCGAGGCTGCGGGCTGGGGATGTGCGGGTTTCCTTGCGTTGCCATAAACCCAGAGACGGAGAGGAAGAGATGGAAAGAAAAAGGAAAAAGGGAAAGAAAGTAAGAGGAGAGAGAGGGGAAAAGAGAGGATGAAGAGAGACAGAGAAGAGAGACCTGAGAGAGGGAGAGAAAGAAAGAGACAGAAAGAGAAATGGAAGTGGGGAAAGGGGAAACAGGCAGAGAGAGTAAGGGGAGGGAAGAGAGAGGGAAAAGGAAGGAGGGAGTGAAATCAAGAGAAGTAAAAAGAGAACCAGGAAGAGGGGGGGAGAGAGAGAGATTGAGAGAGAGAAAGAGAGGGAAGAGAAGAGAGAACAGACAAGAGAGAAGAGAGAAGACAGAGATGTGGCCTCCTTGGGGAAAGGTTTGGAGAACTGGGTCAGACCCGTTTCCCGGGGCTCACCAGTGAGCAGTCCACCTGCCCCTCTGAAGCATTTGATAGACTCATATGTCCCACTTTTGTGAGCTGATCATCCCACAGAGGACCAGGGGACACCACCTCACCTTTTGATTTCTTACTAGAAACTTGGGTGAGGCTTCCAGGAGCTACAAGAGCCCTTCAGTCCACCCAGGGACCGCGGGCCCACGAGCTTCCTTAGCTTTCCTCCTCTCCAGAGGCAACAGGGAATAGGAAAAAGTCCAGAGCAAGGCCACAGCACAACCTTATGCAAATGGAAATGTGAGGAAAACGATTAATTTGCTTCCTGAAAATAACATTTTTTTTTCTGGTTTCTATGAGACGCGAGGTGGCCTTTCTGAAACCGAAATCGGTATGAGCTTTCCCTGGCAGACAATGGCTACAGGCCACATGTTAAATTCTTATGAAAGGGATAACTTTGTGGGCAAGAGGAGAATTGTGCAGGGTGATTATTTATAATTGCATAATTGTGATTATTTGTTCAATTATCTGTCTTTCAATGTACAAAATTTACAATTATGGGTAGTTTAAAAACTGCATGCTAAGGCCGGGTGCCATGGCACACATCTGTAATCCCAGCACTTTGGGAGAGCCAGGCGGGTGCATCACGTGAGGTCAGCAGTTCAAGACCAGCCTGGCCAACATGGTGAAACCCCGCCTCTACTAAAAATACAAAAATTAGCTGGGCATGGTGGCAGGCGTCTGTAATCCTAGCTACTCCAGAGGCTGAGGCAGGAGAATCACTTGAATCTGGGAGGTGGAGGTTGCAGTGAGCCAAGATTGTGCCATTGTACTCCAGCCTGGATGACAAGAGTGAAACTCCATATCAAAAAAAATAATAATAATAAATTAAAACTACATGCTATTCTGGCCATAATCATTTGAGACTTCAGTCTCTGGGCTTTCTGGATGTGGGTGTTTCAAAGTCCCAGATGGCTGATGGGGGTTCAAGCATCAGCGGCTTTTTGCGGGGGGGATGGATGTTACACTGATGTCCTACGAAGGGTCATAATTCAGTATTTTCAGAACTTATTGTACTGCTATTAGAGGTACGAACTTTCCCACAAAGTATGGTGCTTGTGCATTAATAGTTGTATTGGCTTATTTATAAATGAGAGGATTTGCTGATAATTATTGAGACTGTGGCATGGGCCGGGCGCTAGCTGGGTTGAGTACTTTGTGTGCATGTACTTTATATCTGAGCAAATAGACAAGAAGTAGGAATTATGGTCAGGCCATTTTACAAACTGGGGCAACTGAGTTCAGAGAATTTGGGCCACTGTCCTGAGGCCAGGCAGCTGGAAGGTGGCAGAACCCCCAGGTCCCTGCTTCCGACCACCGTGCTGTGTCTCCAGAACACGTCCTGTCTCACTGGGTTGTCTACTCCTTTCTGAATCTGAGGACCCCAAAAGAAAAGGCCTGTTTTAAAATAACAGCTTCTCTTCAAAGAGGTGTGTGAATAATGGGGGAAACATAACTCCAAAGTACTTTTTGTATCCAGCCTGGGCAACACGGCAGAACACCATCTCTCCAAAAAAATACAAAAATTCTCCAGGTGTAGTGGCACAGGCCTGTAGTCTCAGCTACTAGGGAGGCTGAGGTGGGAGGATCTCTTGAGCCTGGGTGGTCGAGGCTGCAGTGACCTATGATTGTGCCACTGCACTCCAGCCAGGGCGACAGAGCAAGACCTTGTCGCACACACACACAAAAAGTGCTTTTTCTAGATCCTAGCTAAACCCCAACTGTTGAGGCTGAGAGTTACAGGTGGGCCCTGTGCCTGCTGCGTTCTCACCCTTGCGATGGGGCAACACTTGGGAGGATGTGGGCAGCTGTAAAGGGCACTGGAGGCTGACGGGTCCAGCGCTCCTCACTTTCCAGGTGAGGAAACAGAAGCACAATGCAGGTTACCACAATGAGGTAACACAGATTTTACCCCACAAATAGAAAAAAGCAAAGAAAATGGACAAATAGTGTTTGAACAAGGCTCTCCTCAACTCACAAGGAGATCAAACAAGAGCAAAAGAAGGAACCGAAGCTAAAACTCATTTATTGTCTTCAAACATAAATTTATTTTTAATCAAAAAAAGGAAAAAGTTATGTTGTCCAGCTCTTGCATTTTGCTCAAGGAAGGGTGATATACACTTGGTTCCTGACCTCTTTCTTAACAAATAATCGCTTGAGAACTTTTGAAATGGTAGCAATCATAAAGCTGTTTTGGGGAGAAGCCCCAGCTCTGTATTGGCCGTGAGTCACATCTGTGGGCATTACTGCATCTTGGCCTCTGTAGCTGGGCTTTTCTGGGCTGTTAACTTCAGGGGCCCTCCCTGGGAGGTCAGAGCTGCTGGGGCTGAGGTTTTGGGAGGATTCAGGGGATCTTGCTGGGTGTGAGGGAAGCGTCCTTGAGTCAGATGTCCGTGAGTGAGAGCCAGCCTTCTTGCTCCATGTTTATCTCCCACACCACCTCTTCCCCCAGAACCAAAGTCCAGAAGGAATCAGGAGGAAAGTACTGCAGAGCAGGGCCTCTATTCCTTCCCCCTCCCCTCCAAATGCCTACCTCTTCATCCTTGTCCCTGTTAAAACACTGTGGGATGATAAGATCACCCCACAAAATCATGCGATAAAATGGTCTGGTTCCTCTGCTTGTTATCAGGGGTATCTGATCAAAGAAATGGTGCCCAGGCCTGGTTATCTAATAACCAAATAAGCATCCAGGCAGCCTCCTGGGCCAAGAAAGGTAGGTTGGGGCAGCTCTGGATGAAGCAGGGGACAGGCCGGGGTGGGCTGGGCCCCTCTTGGTGACCATTTCTGCCTCCAGAGTGAGCATGCTGGCTTGGCCCGAGTCGACCAGATCCTTACAACAACCTGCATATTACAGACGAAGAAACTGAGGCAGGAAAACCAAGTCCCTGTCCTTCAGAAGTGCCTGGTGTGCTCCTGAGCCTAGCACATGCTTTGTGCATAGTAGGGGCTCACTACATGTTTGCTGAGTGAATGAATGAGAGAACAAATGAACTGTCACAGAATGAGCACTGGGTTTATCAGAAGACCTGAATTCAAATCTTAATGCTACCACTTAGCCACTCACCACGGCTCAGTGCTAGGAGGAGGCAAACTGGTTCCCAGGGCTCACCATGTAACAGGCACTCACTCTCGGGTGGGCACAGGTGCAGATAGCCCCTCCAGGTGAATGCCTTCTCATAGTTTGAGCCCTGGGTGCCTCACCGCAGTCCCGGCCCTGCAATTCCCTCTGCATCTGTTTCTTCCTCTGTAAAATAGAATGAAGCTGTGCCCCACCTGTAGGAATTAGAAGACCATGTCCAGGAATTGAGCATTGGGTGTAGAGTCCAGTCTTCTCAGGCCCTGAAGCCCCATGGTGAGAAGTTGAAGGTCACACAGCTGGTACGCAATGGAGCCTGGATGGAAACCTGGTCTGGGCTGGAAAGACTGGCTCCTCAGACTGAACCTAAACTACCTAGGTCCTGAATGGCATCTTGTTCACCTGCCTCTGGGAAGGCAGGTTGTGGAAATACAACCTGAGGGCTGT